GCTTGTTGACTGAGTTTTAACTATACCCTTGCTCTTGGATAGTTATCAAGTTTAGGGTCTGAAGAACTCAAAGATTGTTTGTGTTGTCTATCAGCTTCTTCTCTTGATTGTAATGGGTTTGGAGTTAAATAACAGCACTAAATCCTTTATTCAAGATTTGGTTTTTTAAATGTATTTCATTCCATATCTTCTTTTAGTAGTAGATTGTTGAGTTGTGTTAAAGGAATATGTGTAATTGTTCATGTTTGATTCATGGATTTGAATATGAGTAAATGAATTATGGTCTGTTGGTTTGAAGTTCTATGTTCACTCATGTCTATTTATATGTTACAGTTGTTAAATTGTTCGAACATTATTTGAACATCAGCTCGATTGCTTGCTTGATTAATCGAATTAGTTTTCATTGGGTTCTCAATCTTGAAATGTATGCAAATACGGTGTCAAAACTTGTAAAACGATGACCATGTCTAACTCGAGTTATTGTATGTGCTAAGTTACCCAGATGGGAATTACCAAAACCTATGATGCAACCCAAAAAGCTTACAAAAAGATTATAAAGTGTACGACCCGACCCAAGACTCATGACTAAGGTCACCAAATGACCCAAACCCTAGAGTGGCAGCCATGCTACGAGCAATAAATTGCAAATGACTTGTGCTCAACAATAAAAACCCAACTCAACCTAAGGACACCATAACTCAGCGATAAACCACCCAACTCAAAATGATGGACACATTGACCTTGTTGTAAACATCACCCAACAAAATGACCCAAGATCAGAAATACCACTTGGGGTAACCAAATGACGTTGTTGACAGGGTTTAAAACCAAAAGTGACCCAAGTACTTAGGCCAAGAATGACCCAAACCACTTGGGGTAACCAAATGACGTTGACAGGGTTTAAAACCAAAAGTGACCCAAGTACTTGGGCCAAGAATGACCCAAATGCTACGACCTAGAATGCCCCAAGTGCTAGAGCAAAAATAAGCCAATCTCATAAAACGGCTCATGACTAGGGTCGCCAAATGACGCAAAGGCGACAAACTACATAGAGCAATCCAAACAATTTGAGAATTAGAGGATAACGACTGAATGAACACATAAGTAATCCTAGTCATGATGATAAGAACTCAGGACAACCAGCTATTCCTTTTGGGCAGTCAACTATACTTTCGGGTAGCTCTTTCTTTGGCACCAAGACATGAATTAGCATAAGATCACCACTATAAATAGGAGGTAAGAGTATGTGTACATGTCTTCTTCCACTTCCTCATTATTACTCTCTAACTATTTATGACCTCCACTCACTCTAGAACCTTCAATGACTTGATCGTCGGAACTCAACTCTAGAACCTTCAATGAGTTGATCGTTGGAGTGCTAGCCGAGAGAACCTTCCAGCTCATTTTGTAGGTCAATAGCTCCGCTGTGGATTGCTCCGTCTCTGGCGACCGGGCCATCAAGATCAATCGGGGTTTTAGCGGGCTCACCTAACTTGAACTGGGCTTTATTTTGTGGAGCACCATTAAATTGCTTAGCTACGACTAGAAGATTTCTGGCAGCACAAGGCTCTCTAATGTGATGGGTACAATTTTCTTCTATGAAAAGATGGTTACTTTCAGGCTTCAGCAGCTATGATTTGATTCAGTATTCCATCGGAGGTTACTTCAAGTAAAATTCGGGTCGATAATGATAGGCGATTACAGATTCAATTACTCACTACTCAGAACAGGCAATGGGCACAACCTGGAAATAAATTCACACCAATTCTACTGTTAACAGACCCCTCAAGTTTATGCAATCAATTCATTTCTAAAAAGTTTCCTTATCAGGAATCTGTATGTATGTTCGAACTGAATGTCAATTTCCAAACAAGCCCATCTGATGAACTTTGCTATGTCAGGTCATTATGCAACTTAATTTAAGATCAATCAAATGCTTAAGGAAACAAACTTTTATAACTTTAACTTATATACACAAACCCAAACTTTCAAATGGGTTTAAAAGATTACAACTTGAACTAATTATTAGGACCCCAGCAGCTCAAGTACATGACTTTCCTAAGCGATTCCTCGGATTCCGACCACCTCTTACCGGACGGCGTCATTGCAGCTCCGGCAGCAGCTGAATCACTTTCACGGCAATCGGATTCAAGCCTTTTCTTGGCCTGACCAATTGACCTCACAACGTTGTTCTTCGCGTTGTGATGGAAGGACCTGATCGCGTAGTTCCACCTGCAAAATCCCAATTGGTCCTTTAGTGCCTCAACAGCGCCCACGCTGGCCGCCGCAATCCAGGCCCTGCTGCATTTTGTAGCGCTCATTTTTTT